CGTCCCGATCCGTCGTCGTCCGGTAGGATCTATAGATCACGGTCAGGATTTTTGCAAAACCGTCCGTTCTGTAAGGTCGAAATATAGCACGGGTGTTAAGAATTTACACGTAAATAGCACGCGTTCGAACGTTAAAATTCTTTCTCGTTCAGAACGATCGATCGGTTTGCTTGCGATATTTTCGCGAAAAGGACTCGGCCGAGCGTAGTCCGAACTTTTCCACCCTTCGGCTGTCGCAATTCTACTCAAATTCCCGGGATAGCTGCTGCGAATGTCAGCTGGGGTGAACGAACGCTGGAACAACGTTAAAGGGACCTCCATCGGCGAGACGGAATATCATCCCCCTTCTCGATAAAAATAATTTCTTGACGTCGTACTTCGACTAGATATTTTCACCAATTATTTATGCGTCGCGGAGCCTTCGTTTGCTTCTCGCGAGCGCACACACACGGAGGAGGGAAATTAAAACTTTAAGTTTAATTCTTGGAAATGGGATCGAGATAGTGAAATTCGGTAGTTAACTGGATAAATGTGTTACGTGTTCGATATTCTCTGTTGGTGAAAGAGAATATTTCTCGTCTCTTGAGCAGCTACTTTTTCAATATTTTGTACTTGATTATTTCAATATTTTTTTTTTATTAACTTGATAATTGTAAATGCAATTTGTTACGGAAAAGTTGGAATTCCCTTTTTCACTGAGAAAATGAAACGATAGGTTTTAGTATTTTAAAATTTGTCAAATTTTTCAAATACGCGTTACTGTGGACCGAATGCTTGTGTCAGCAGAATTCTGAGAGGAGAGTTCGGAACTTCCTAAAAATCAACGGTGTTCCGAGTGGGGAGTTTGAGACTTCTTAAAAATCAATCGCATTAATATTTCAACATTTGCTTTTGCCAAGTGGAAACAGTATTACTTTTTTAGATGGGAAAACAGAACTTTGGATTTTATCACTTGCAAGATTTATCAAATTTTACATTTTATACTTTTTGTTTAAGCGTGCGTTACCAAAATGTCTGCACAACTGGCATTCTAAGTGCAGAGTTTCAATTTTTTTTTAAATCGCCACTCAATTTCATACATAATGAAACTTCTTTCTAATCCACATGCAATCAAAATTGATAAAATCAATAGTTACATAGAAACACAGTCAGGAAATCATCCCTCGCACGTGTCCAACAAATCCTCCAAAAAGTGCAATATTCTTTCACTTTTCACATTGCAAAAATCTAAGTCGCAGCATTGCGAATAAATAAAAGAAAGATATTTCCACTCTCAATGCAACATCAACTTAACGAAAACGCAATCATTAAGGGGTTAAAACACCAATTACCCAGTACCACCCCTAAAACTCCCAAAAAAAAGTACACATATAACTAAACCGAAGCAGATAAAAGCACCCACCATCCATCCCCCGAGAAAGACCATAAAGGTCCACGAAAGGGGGTGACTTTCCTCTGCACCCCGAGGACACCGGTTCCCCGTAATTTTTTCTAAGGTTCCACAAAACCGGTTCCGTGGAAAATCCACGAGTGTGACGAGCCTCCCAGGGAGAGGAGAGCGAGAGAGGGTGCCTGGGAGGGGTGGGGGTTGCCAACAGTGCAACGAATGGAGATCGATTCTGAGTCTGGGTCAGGCGAGGGCGTTCACCCCCCGGTGCAGCCCGGGAGACACGGAACCCAGGGTCGTAGCTAGGGTATCACAGGAGGGGTACTGACGCTGAGGCGGGGGTGGCAGGGACGGCTGGGTGGTGGAGAATGAGGAGGAGGAGGAGGAGGCGGGGTGGGTCGCACGGGACACTCCCTTCTGGTGAGTGCAACGTACGCTCCTCTGTCCGAAATCGTAGCCGCGTATCCTCCTCGTGGCCTGATCCATGTCGTTCCCGTACGGATACTCGGCAAACGGTAGGTACACACGTAAACGATTCACCGTGGACAGATTCGTGTGTCGCGAATTCACCGCAGACCACCCGTTGGATTTTCCGGCCGATTGAAACGTTTCGACCTGTGGCCAGCCAGAATCCGTGGTCGCTTAAGATCCATTTCGGATTTTACGAGGCTAAGAGAAATACAGAGAGAGAGAGGGAGAGACTGAGATAGAGTTTAGGGGACTAAGTTGCTCGCTCCTCCTCGAGGATTAGCGACTCCCCGTGGACGTGGCTTCCCGTTTCCCCCGATGTTTTGCGGTCCCCGCTCCGTTTACCGATCCCAGGGTGGAAAGTTACACCGTCGCGTTGTTAACGCGTTACGTCATTTTTCTACACCTCGTGTCGATCGCGATACGACGATATCACGCGATATCGAACAGTGGTGAAGAAGGAAAGAAAAAACGGTGAAATTGTACCGGTGACGAGTGCCTAAAATTCGACGGCGTGTCGTCTCTTACCTATAGGAGACGCAGCATTGCGGATGATAATTTGCCGCGGTACGAAATAGCGCGGCTTGTTGCGAGCACGGTGGCCAGACGAAACGACACTGGATATTCCTTTCGTCAGAACGGGGAACATAATACCGAAAGGGGGCTCATTGTTTGCCACGTCGTATTATTCCTTGTCTTTGTCCGGCGTCGAGAGTTTCGTGCTTGATCGTCCGTTCGGGTGGCACGAAACACGATATCGAAGTCCATCGAACTGCTCTTTGTTGCTGCCGAAATAGGTTCGTTCGCGTTTACGCGGCGATAAAAACGCGGAAAATCAGGTATTAATTAGAAGTTCGGTGCGTGGAGTGTGGGGTATCGGACAATAGGGACAACTTAAACTACTTCCGTCTCTACCGATTGCGGTCTGTTGATATCGATCATTGTAAAGGAGGTGTCTAGAATAATTCTCTCTCCTTCGTTCTTCATCTTTTTTCTTTTATTACTAGATTAACGTCTTACGCATACGTATACAATAGACGCGTGAGAGAAATTCGGAGAACATTCCTTTTCATTATTATCACAATACGAGATTGTAATTCATGACATGACAATCTGTGCGTAACAGCGTGGTGAACAGCGTTCGAACTTGATAATACTGTGAAATTACCTTTGGGCGCGATAAATTTCTATTTTAAGTATGAATAATAGGTACTCGTTTGTACGACGCGAACTTCAATAATAAATTTTTAAATAAATAATAACAAATTTTTATAAACACCTATTTTCGTTAATTATAATCAGCTTAAAAATCACTGTATCGTTGCGTCAATTTCACTATTTTCAACTTAGAATAGCAGTCGTCCACGTTTAATCACGTAGAAACTGCTACGAGATAACGCGGTTCATCCCTTTTCACGTCCGCGGCATTCATATCCAAAGGGCACAGAAGTCCTTCATACCTTCCGCTTTAACCTGGCTACCAGGAGCGACTCCCAGGACGAGGTGAACGATCGACAGGGTGGTGGTACGTGACCTTTTGCTCGAAGGATAACGGCAGGGGTGAAGCGGGGACTTTGCCCCTCGGTAACGGGGGTGAATGCACGTACGACCCATCTGCCCCCACTCCTTTTCGCGAGCACCGAACTATTAAAGTTCTTGGGATAGGTTAATTAATAATCTTTTCGGTCAATTCGCCGATCCGTTCGTTTCACGATACGTCAGATCGTGGTGAAAAAGTTGAATCCGTTCACCGGGCTAATTTCGACAAATTCTTAGGTTTGTCGCGTTTCGTCGGAGCCTATTTGTATGCAACCCGCCCTGGAGCGGTGCACCGAGCGCAGGATCGATCCGTGTTTCGGGAGCTTTTTCATCTCGGCTACGCGCAATGCATTCTAGCTGCTGTTTGAATAACGATATATTTCTTGATATTTGCTTGATTATAGATCGTGTTCCAGATTCTTTTCTTCGTACGACGAACTTTCCTCGAGAAATGGAAATGTACGATAATGGAGTTTGATTATATGCAAATTTTATTTTTTACCATATCTTTGCACTGCACTGAAGTGTATTGTTCTCGATTGGTGTGCAGTATAGATATTTGAAATGCAACGTGTTTTTTTAACGAAAACAGGGATTATTAATCTATTTTGTTTGAATAAATATTGTTATCCATAGGTTAATGGTTATCTTGAGAGGAAAGTACAGAATTGAAGAAGTTCCTGAAACGAACGCACGGAGCCACTTGTCAAGAGCGGCTCGATAAGAATTCTTCGTGGTCATTCTTTGATGCCGAGTCGTAACAAATAATGATATCTCATAAAGTTGTATAAGTGAACTAAAATTGCTTTTACATAAGTCTCTAATGAAAGTTAATGATTAAGTGGCACTGTGTATGTTTGTAATACGTGTCACTTCATCTAATAACACTTTTTATCGATTCGTGTCATTCAGAATAATGGTTGTTATTTACTAAATGTGATTTATTGCAACTCTAACATGATTTCATTTACGATGTTAAAACGTATATAAATGTTTTTACACAAATATGCATTGATATAATTTATTGATTATACGTAGTTGACACATCTATGAAACATCTACGCCGCCATACTCAAAAATTAAAAATAAACCTTTCTTTTGCAGTTTTATAGATAAAAGGTTTTTTTTTTTAAGAAAAAAGATATTATAATTGTTGAAATTTACTCTGCAATATATTAACTATTTTACAGATGATTCATTTGAAATTGAATGTTACAATAAACCATTAACTACGACTGGTTGTTTGTACATTTAATAAAGAAGTTTATTAAAAAAAATTAATTTGTTGTAAAATAAATTTCAGAATGTAACGATACTTTTTCTGAATTTTAAACATATTTTACCCAAAAAAGTACAATATAAACAGTGGTTATTATTTTCAAGTAGTAGAATAGATAACACAAAAGTATAGTATTAGTTTTCAAATAATATTGTAGCGTTAGGGCTATCCTATACCTCGTCTGTCGTTTTCAGTCACATAACGGTTCTTTACCGGCGAAGTAAAGAATATGGTTAACCGGTCGAGAGTTTACGATTAATTGTCTGTTTAACTGTAAAATTGATAACTTTCATACATATTAATATAAACTGCGTTTTACTGATAAGATATAAATCATGCGTACGTAAATGTGTGGATTGAATTGGTTTTTACTTGGAACGTAGTACTGTCTAAAGCTTTATAGAACAAGAATAATGACAGTGACAGTTAATATAACACAAATGTTTATTGCCTTACTAATCGTTGTCTTACTTGTAAGTTATTTCTTTTGGGGAAGGCGGCCAATGAAGGTTAATAACAAGCATGTAGTTGTAAGTAGTAATGAATTGATACAAACATAACCCCTACAAAGGTTACCTGTTCCATTTCTTGTAGAATGTATATATACGTATTAACAAAATAACGCAAAACGATCGTCAGTTTTTGCTTTTACTATTTTACGGTTTTTCATTAATAACCATTTTTTAATCATAGTGTTAAGGTGTTAGTTAAGATTATTTAAGGGCTTTCATTTTATTTTAACAATAAATTGTGTTACGATTTTTTAACCAACCATAACCATGTGCTTTTGTAAATTTAAAATGTTTCTATCAAATATTATATATGTTTGGACCTTGTTTTAATAATACAATGTTTATTTGTCAGGTGACTGGTGGGTCCAGTGGCATAGGAAAATGTGTTGCCATTACTGCTGCCAGGAATGGAGCACATGTGACAATAATTGCAAGAGATGTACAAAAATTAGAGGTTGCAAAAAACGAAATTATTCGTGCATGCAAGAACAAAGATACACAGAAAGTTGAATATTTGTCTTTAGATATTAGTCAAGATTATAATGCAGTGGAAAAAGCATTAAGTGATTTAGAAAAAACTATGGGCCCAATATATATGTTGGTGAATTGTGCTGGAACTGCAATTTGTGGCAAAATTGAAGATACCTCAGTGGCAGACTTAAAGAAAATGATCGATATTAATTTTATGGGATCGTATTATTGTATAAAAGCTGTTGTTCAAAAAATGAAAAGTTCTCAAGAAGGAATTATCGTATTAACTTCTTCTCAAGCTGCTCTATTAGGTACATATTTTAATGTTCTACTTCAATTCATTCAGACTACGTTATTTACTTTGAATATTTCTATTTTCCAGGTATATTTGGTTACTCAGCATACTGTAGTACAAAGTTTGCTCTTCGTGGGTTGGCAGAAAGCATATCTATGGAACTTGCACCATATAACATTTCTGTGACCCTTAGTCTACCTCCAGATACCGATACTCCTGGTTTTGCAACAGAAGGATTGTCTAAACCTTTGGAAACGAAACTTATATCTGAAACTAGTGCATTAGTCAGTCCAGAAGTAGTTGCAAACAAACTTTTTAAGGATGCATTGGTTGGTAAAATCGAAATTGAACGCTGATTAAATTACAGATGGATAATTGACAGAGTAAAATATATTTTAGGCTGGGAAATTCTTCTCTACCGTCGGTACGGAAGGATTCATGCTAACTGTTCTATGCTGCGGGATGTCGCCGTTCAGTTCGATCAAGGAATTGCTTGTGCAGTCGATGCTAATGGGTGTTTTCCGCCTCGTCAGTGCCTGCTACCTCGTACATTTCCAAAAAATCATTCGCAATTGTATGAAGACCCGGGATAGAAACAAAAAATCCGAATAATCACTTCTACGAGTCCACGACAAAATACAAAATTTATACAATGCAAAAGATATACAACGTTTGTAACTTTTTCGATATACGCATAATAAATATGCAACTACACAGGTTTTTGTGTATTGCTATTAATGTGTCCATCTAGTTTATTCATTGTTTCTCATTTCAAGCATCCAAAAGCTTTTACTCTAGACAGATAATTAATCCACTACGTTGAATCATCGGACTCTCGAAACTGTGACAAAATGAAATCGAAATAAAGAATGAATTTATCGTTGACAATGAAAAGAAAAGGAGGCGGGAGGGGCATGTTACAATGATCAACGGTTTGGCTTACTTTTATTTAGTATCCCGTAAGTTCATAGTATAATGTTCTTCATTAAGCTTTATGGTTCTTACACACATAGAACGGGACACAGTTCTCCTCGTCCCTGTTGCCACGATACTTTGAAAAAACGGAAAAAACGCTGAGACTTCGTGTGTAATGTGTATTTCGATGCGGACGATGCCCCCGCCTGGCCACTCTGCGATGCATTTTGAAAACGTCCAGTACATCGATGTCAGATAAATTTGCATTAACGATTCCTTAGCCCTTAAACACTTTTTACAAAAGAAGAAGAAAAACTGATGCAGAGCGTCGGTCGATTTATGTCTTTTGCGATTTATGTTTAATGATACCTTATGACAGGGCAGCGTCCAGCATTTTATGAAACCGAGACTGAACTTATGCAGAGAAATGGCGGATAACGAAGATGTGTCTCTCGAAAATTGTAAATCGGTAATGATCGGTTTATAACATTGATTTATTATCTTTCTCTCCCACTCTCTCAACCCTCACAATCACTTTCTCTCTCTCTCTCCTTTGTTTCTCGTTTCAACATCTCTTTCTCTCACACACACGCTACAGCCACTCGTACGCAAAACTTCCGCTCGTTTTTCATCCCGCGCGATTCTCATCCACGCAGTCGCTTCTTTATTTATTTTTTTTTCTCTCTCCTCGGCATCATCTCGCGGATTCGTTAAAGTCCTATATCCAGCTTACCCTAAAGCGCTCGAGGTGTACACTTGGGAATCTGCGAGACGAGGCTTGTTTCGAGGGGCTTCGTTTTACATGTTTTTTCTTCTTCAAATGTTTTCTCTCTCTCTCTCTCTTTCTCTCGTTTAATTTATTTAAGTTAAATTTTAAATCGATGTTCGCTTATTCGGGCGCTCGACAAACGCTTTCCCATCTTCGTTCTCTTCTTCTTCTTCTTCTTCGTCGATATTATCAACCTTCTCATCTAAAACCACCCTTCTTCTTCGTTTTTCATTTTTGTTTAGTCGATTGTACGCTGCGTGTGATTTAATTGTCATCAGCCTCGTCGAACGTTCAAACCGGCAAACGGCACGCGTTAACGATTAATTAGACCCATTGCTACGCGTGATCTGTCGCGCATTGGAAACGTAAATGTCGTTTACGGGAGGTTTCTCGAGAACTGAACACGTTCGTGATAGATTGATATTCTCCTGTCGCTAATCGAGACTCCTGATTTCGACTGATTTTTTTCTTTTTCATTTACTCTCGTTGAACAGAAGTCAGTTTCATTGTAACATACGAAGTTCTTTATGCATATTACCGATGAACGAAGAACCGTGGATTATTTATCGGAGACTCAGGAGCCTCAATGGCTTCCTATTTTATTTCTCGTATAATACAACAAGGAAAGCGCGACGAGACGCGTATTAATATCGCCAATAACGAGGGATTGATGAAATCTTCTCCGTCCCGAGGGTTTCGATCGACGACTGTATTACCATTTTTATTTACTTCTAACCCTCCACAGCTAGAGTCATTCTCTACCCCGTTTACATGCTCTATTTACACACAGAAAATTCCACAGTAAAAATGAAATACAGTGGAATGTAAAAAGTAACGCGACGAGAAAACACGCAAATGCAACGATGGATCTATCTTAATTAATTCTGTTAATCAAACGAAACAGACGAAGAATACACCAATAAAGCTAGTACACACTTTCTAACGTTGTAGTTTACGGTATATACGAGTTAAGACAAAAAAAAAAAGAAGAAAAATTAGGTCACAATTTCAAAAAGTAGAATCGATAGAATTTCTCTAAACTACCTGCCTGTCGTTCTTCTCTTAAAAATTATCTACACCTACGAGATGCCCACTGCATCCTCGCAAACAATTACAGCGTCCATCTTGGTTTCAACAGTAATAAGCGGTAGAGGGTTAAAATCACAATAATCATACGTGCACACTTCTTCACACGGAATCAATACCACTATTCCGCGGGGGGAATAAGCTCACACTGCATCTCAGTCTTTCGACGAAAAATTTACCTTTTATGAAATCGTCCTACCGGCAACCCAGTTTCCGCCATCGATCGCCATTTTCCAGCGTACAACGCACGAACAGCCATTACTTCTAATATTTTCTTCGTTTCTTTCTTTCTTTTCTTTGTTAAATAACCGGATCAGCAACTTCCCCACACGAGAAACTGACTCCCGGCTCGTTGATTCCGATTTTCTTTTGTATTTCCGGCTGAATACCGCCGTCTGTCGCTCGTATCTCATTTTACCTACTATCGAAAAAACTAACTTCGAGTATCTACGCGTAAGAGCACATCGACGACACTGTCAGGACGGTCAATCATCACACGAAAAAGGATCTTTCGATACTCGCGTACCGCGACTCTCGGGAACGGGTACGTGCTCGTCGCCGGGGCGGATTCGACGATATACAACTCGCTTTTACGGTTCTCTTAACTTTCAAGGAGATACGGGAATTAACACAGCTGGATGTAGAACGCGATTAAGAGAGAGCAGGATCGGTGAAAGCAAACATTCGAAATTTTTGGTGAAATACAAAATGGCAGTAAACGTTGCTCACACGTACCAGTGGTTCTCGAATTCTTCGCACACTTTGTCTTCTCAATCTTTATTTCTCTCGATTTCCTGGCAAAAATTTACAAATTTCAAGTTACAAGTGCACACGTTGATTTTTCTTTTTATTCCGGTGATTTATAAACGAACGAATTATATTCCGCAGCCTCGATGGGGGAGAACCACTGATAAGAAATTTATTCGATCAGAGAAACAACCATCGGCGCAAAACTGAATCGAACGGAAGGGCCTCGCATAAATTTCACGCAAGACGCAGAAAATCAACATCCGCCCCGCGAGCCATCGACAAAACCGAGAATACATAAGTACGTTTACTTAAGCCTGCACAGGCGGCCGTATTTGAGAACAGAAAAATCCGCGACACTTAAGAGCTACTATAGACAATGGTACAAAAATTCAATGCTGTCTACGACGTTAGTATACCTTAGACGACGTTTTTATTTAATTCATCATCACCACCACCATCCACCATCATCGTCATCGTCGTCATTACTATAATCATCGTCACGACCACTTCCAACTGCCATCTACATCTTTCTCGCCAGTTCTTTGTTATCTTCGTTACAATAAAAAAGGGGCGACGAGGACGAGCGCGGGAATGACAACTTCCTTCTTCCACCTGGCGAGGGGAGGCCCCGGTTTAGTTGTTCTAAGAAGAAAGGAAGGGTGCAGGAAACGGGCGTGCTTTAATTGTGGCCTCGAGGTGAGCCCTATCTTTAGCCCCTTCTCTTTATCTTTCGTCACGAGTGGCCTCGCGAGGCGCGGGAAGAAGAAAGGGAAGAAACGGTACAAGAAGGATTGTCCCCGGTCGCCCCTTTTCTCTTCTTCTTCTTCTTTTTTTCTTTTTTTTACCTTAAAGTGCGTCATTCGACCAACGCCTTATACCACGTCGGTCCAACGAACAACCCTTTTCTCTTTAACTCTCCTCTCTCTCTCTTCTCGCGCGTGTGTATGTGCTCCTTTTTCTCTCACTTACCCTTTCACGCTCTCTTTCTCTCTCTCTCTCTCTCTCTCTCTCGCACGCTCGTCTCTTCCCTCGCTTCTTCCCTTTCTTACGTCGTGCACGCATACATAAACACACATACACACACTTTCTCTCTCTCCCCTCTCGCCATTCAACATTCCGCTTATTTTTCGCACGCATTATATCAGACGCGTGTATCTTCAACATCCACGCACACAAAAGTCATCGATTGCCGCGAAAAAATTCCACGTATACGCGTGTTTTCTTTACGTCCACACCTGGTTACTATGTCAGACAATATATCCTTCATTTATATCCGTTAGTTCTTACGCTAGGCGTTAATTAGTGTTACATCTAGTCGCGTGTGGCCGGCTCGTGCTATCCAGGAACGCGCTGCTCTACCAGCTGCGCTCCTTTTTGTTGTCTCGATGCACCGACGTGCCAGAAAAAGCACGCGCGTCGATGCTCTCTACCCTCTCTCGGTTCCTCTCTCTCCCTCGAAATCTTCCCAGCCTCCTTGCCCATCCGCCGCATTTTCCCCTTCATTTTCCTTCTCTCCCGCTGCGTTTGTTTTTCGACCATCTCTCACACGTTTACCCTAATTAATTTTCAACGAGCTCTTCTCTCTCTTTTTCCCCCAAAAATGTTACAAATCGAAAATTCTCGATCGCGATTCTTTACTATTCATCATTCTCTCTCTGTCTCTCTACGTTGTTGTTGCCGTGAAATACTATCTCGAGCCGGTTAGCACGAGCGGCCAGACCCATTCGAATGCATTTACGATCCGAAAAATTACACAGTAACGTTATTTATTTATTTTTTTTCTGGGTTTGTTTTGTTTAGTGTAACACGTACGGCATATCGTTAATTAACGTTACGTTATTTATATACTATATATTTACAATCACATGAATCGTAGATATTCTAACGTATCGTTCGTCTCCGGCCGACTAATCTCCTTTTTCCCCCCTTCTTTCTTCTCACCCGCTCCGTTTTCTTCCTTACCACTTTCATCGCGACTATTCACGATTACCAATTACGCTTTTATACACGACCTCGTAAAACGTTACTTTTTTTTTTGTTCTCCCCTTTAACTTTACCCTAACCGTGTTTCACCCCCGTCGCTGTTACACGTGGAAACGTGTATTTTACTTTATTTTTCCTCTCCCTCGCTCTTTTTTCTTTTTGTTGATATACATATATATATATATTCTCATCTGTTCGTTCGTGTGTGTGTGTGTGTGTGTGTGTGTATAATATAAAAAAGAGTATCTCCTAACGCTTGCGAGAAGAAAGTAAATTTCACGAGGCGCCTCGGGCCACCTAAAAAGCTGTCCGTCCGTATGCTTATACAGCCGAACATGCAGAACGAGAGAGAACGGTCTGGGTCTTTAGAATGGTCTATTGTTTAGAACAATTATCCAAAAAAAAATCCTTCTCGCGATTGTTTCGAATTCTTTTTCTCTATATTCTTCTCTGCCGTTACTCGCCGCCATTTTGGTTCCGATGGATTCCGATGGTAAATTGTGAAAGACAACGCATGGAGTAGGTGAGAACCTGCAGTTTACAATTTCTGGACGATTTATCGATCGACGATGAAAACTCGTCGATCAAGATGCTTAGCGATTTGTCGAGTGTTCAAAAATAATTCGTCGATACTGTTTGCAATGCTCGAATATGCTGTCACGTGTGAGGGTTTGTATTAAAATGGCGCTTCTAAGCTGAACGAATTTCGTATCAAAGTGACCCATTCCGTTAAGAAACTTGACACGCATGCACGGACATATAACATTGTTTTCTCTTTTATTGGCTCGTGTTCATACTCGATGCGCTCCAAGTACCAAAATTTGTCGCTACGGATCGTCTCGAGGCAATTGGTACGCTCTAATCTACTCTTTTTTTCTGTATGTGTTTTTCTTCGTTAATAAACGATCGCGACTTTTAACCGCAGAAATAATCTTCGTCGAACGTATTGAAACGTGTATATATATATATAGAATACAATTGAATAATAGAGGCAGTGTGACGTTTTCGTAGAATCGATGAATAACAACAGGGCAGTGACGTTCTCGTGAAAGTATCTCGCTGTTTTAGTCACTTTGTCCTGATTCAAGTTCGTACGAAAATATTCAGGAACTGTGAGAGAATGCAATAGGAAGGGGGCCAACTTTGTCACGCTATAAATGGCCCTCCGGCGAAAATAATTCTAATATCACCTCGTCCGATAATAAACACGTATCGATGTAATATACAATAGAGCAACGATTCAAGTCTTCGATTTAAAAATGAAACCAATTCCTCCTCGTGTGACGTTTAAATATAATGATTTTATAAAGCGTATTTGTAAATGTCTCCGATGCATTTGCCAGTACATCGATTTACGAAAACTAAACGAACCAAGAGCTAACCTTTGATACTCGGATTCTTCTCCATTTCAATCTTCACTGTCTACTCTCTACAGCCACGTTTCAGATTGCACAACGAAGCTTTCATTCGACGTACGATAAATCTTAGACAAAGAACGAAAAGGTGGAAGTAATTTGTACTTAGACCGCTGTTGAAACGTTTAAAAATTTCAAAAAAAATGACCGAACAGTGCCTCATGCTGCTGAAAGATTTCGACGTATCGTCTGAAGCAGAGACGATCGTCGAGATCGATCGTTCACTCGAGACGATCTCGATCATGGACGCGGTAGATGGTCGAGTATGGTCACGTTTCGCTAATCGTCATCCTAGTCGAATACAATTAACTACATATCGCTTTCAAAAACTTCATCGAACAAGTTTCAATTCTAATGAGAGCGGCGCGGACGAAGTTCTGTCTCTATTCTTGCCGATCGCTCTTTGCCTCTTTCTCTTCTTACTTTCATCGAAGTATCCCCAAAACTCTATCCTCTAAATCTAAACCCGCCCCCCCCGTTCCTCTCTTATTTTCCCCTGTGGCAGAGTCACACACTCGTCGAGTTAATCTCAATGTGAAAGAAACTACGAAACCCTCCCGACGTCCTCGACAGAATCTCGCGATCGATCACGAAGACACTTCGTTACTGTTTGGCTTCCCGTTAACGAGAAAGACACGAAGGTCACGAAACACCTTCGGCAATTGTGAATTAACGAATAAGAGAAAAAAAAAAGGGGAGTGGTTGACCTCGAGGTCACTCAGTCCCAACCCCTTTCTTTTGTTTTCGTGTTTCGGCTACTCTGGCGTGATTCGTATCCCACGATCCTCTTGTTTGCTCTCCCCGTGAAAGTCTCTCGTTTAGGCAAATATGTACAATGATTCTCGCGTGATTCGTAACAGCGATTCGTTCAAACGATAAGGTTAGATCGCGATGGACTTGGAGTATGACGAGGGTACAAAAGACTCTATGTTATCCGTGCGTGTGTCGCATTGGAAGATCGTGTTTCTCTATGTGTAATTTCTATAAAAGATTCGTATTCTCGATTATAGAGGAGGGATAGCGGTGTTATACTTCGTGCACTTCGTGAGCTTTCTCCGTTTTGTAATACTACCTTCGACGATCGAGGTACAGTCTATCTGAAACGTGAGTTCTTCGTCGACACGAACAACTTTCTGCCTCGCGATTTCACGAACACTCTCCCTCGAGATTAATTAACCCCTAATTGCTAAACGGCCGGATCACACTCTGTCTCGACACTCTGAACTTCGTTTTCTTTCTCGTTTCTCTCTCGCCACCGTCCCCCGAGTCTCCTTTCTACACGTGAGGAAAGAATCGTCGGTAGCTGAATGTTCGCGTTCGATCGCGATCACGATCGAGTCTCTGGTTCCAATAAAAAAAAGGCGGACTCGATCCTTCGTTGTGAAGATTTCTCCCTCGAAACGGGCTAATCTTTCCTTTTTTTTTTCGGCGAACGATCCGTTTAAAATAATACATCGGTAATGATTTAAAAAATCGTTCCTCTCTCTCTCTCTCTCTCTCTCTCTGCGATGTACGACAATAAAAATCGACCGTGTCCGGACCGGGTCGATAGAGAATTTCAAGGTTTCTTTCGCGTTCGACGGTCTGTCTCTCCTCCTCGTAAAGAAGTAAAAACGATACAATAGCTCGCCAAAGGGAGACACACACACGTTTTAGCGTCACGTCGTCCGTCTTGATTCCTCCTCGTCGCGTTTTTCTTCTCGCGGTTCTTCGATCCTTCCTCGATCATCTCCCTTCCATCGTTTGTTCGTTCATCGAGTCACGAAGCCTTTACCGAGGAAGCCCTCCACGTGCTGTCTGTCTTTCTCTCTCTCTCTCTCTCTCTTTTTTCGTCTACTCTTCTCGCTGGAGCGTTCCTCGAGGCGCTGTTCCGGGTCTCGTAACAGGAGAATAATCGATCATCTTCCGACACCGTCTCTCCTCCACTCGTGCTCTGATTATCGTTCCGGCGCGAAGTAACATAGATTCTTCGAGTAAAGGACCACGAGAATGAGAAGGGCGAGGACGAACAGGCGGCTGCTGTGACTGGAATAAAGCGTGACGACGCCCGCCAGCCACCAGAGCGTCGGACAGCCACCCGATGCCGAGCTGATCCCTCTCTGAATCGCGGCAGGATGCTCGCCTGTAGCAGAGAATCGATTTTTACACCGTGCTAACCTTTTATCGCTGTAATAACCCGCCGCGCGTTAAACAGTTTTCTTTTCACTAACTCGATCGTTTCTATTCGTTTCCCGTCTCTTATGCACATTCCCCAACGGGTTAGCTTTCCGGGAGTCCTTTTAATAGAGCGACTGACATGGCTCGTTTTACTCTACGTTTCACGAATACGCTAATCGAGGAATGAGAAAATTTGCAGAAACGTAGGAAAAAAGGAATATTTTTATAAAATTCCCTTCGTTCCTTTCTTATATACTCACGATGAAGCTTCGGTCAAGCTGTTGTGTCTTTTTGCTATCGAATTAAGTGATTTGTAACAGGAACGAAGTAGAGGTTAATTGATTTTATCCTAACGAATCTTACAATAGGCGTTAAAAGCTCGAGTTCTGTTACTTTTGCTTTCGCGTTACTCTGATTCGACTTGTAGCACCGTGTTGCCTTTTGCAGCCGCGGGGAGCGAGACTCTGCTGTTGGAAACCGAGTTAAATTGTTAGTAAACTAACTTTACCGAGTTAGAGACTTTTCAAGCGCAATCTACATCCGTATCTACTGACTCTGTTCGGTCCATGAACCTTCTCCAATTGGCAAATCTATTCGTAACAATTAAACGAAATCTATCGCTATAGAGTTACGTTCGAAGTGAATCGATATCCGTGGAACAAGTATGCACGGGATATACAAGGATTCTTTCATTTACCGGAAACTTGATTAAAACTGAAAATGAATATACTTTTTCGTTTTACCTAGCTGACACGCGATACCTTGCAAAAGTGATTTAACTTAGTGAAACGCGAGAACGCTTACCATTTAACACATGAAGCTGCACGCTCGCGCTGTGCAAACTGCTAGGGCTGCAGGTGTAATTGCCCGAGTCCTCCCGTCTCGCTTTATGGATCACCAGGCTGCTGACCGTTTCGTCATCGATCCTCTTCGTTTGGATGTCGATCTTGTTCAGCTGATAGTCCAGGACACGGTCACCTTCGTGATACCAGAAAACGTAGAACGGGCCCTCGAGGGACTGCTTGATTACGCACCGTATAGCCACTGTGCTTCCGGTCTTCACGTACATGTCGCGATCGCCTATGATCTCGATCTTTGGCACTGAAAATCGACAGTCGATATTTATTCCGTCCTACCTTGTATTTCGAGGAAAAGGAAAGGATTTAAGAAGTATCTTCGGAGCTGAAAATTGACAGTGAATATTTCGTTCTATGTTTTATTTGGAAAGAAGGAAAGAATTTAAGAAGTTTTCGGAGCTGAAAATTGACAGTCAATGTTTATTTCGTTCTACCTTGAATTTGGGAAAAAAGGAATTTAAATAAATAGTATTTTTGGAGCTGAAAATTAACAGTGAATATTTATTTCGTTCCACGTTGTATTTGGAAAGAAAAAGAAAAGAATTGGAGTATTTTACTTAGCAAATTCTTTATCTTCAGAAATAGCATTTTTGAGGGAATATTAAATTCCGGTGAAGAAGAGTTTTAAGAGAATTCTTAATTCAAGTAGAAGAAACTCCACAGGAATACCGAATTAACAAAAAAATATCAATTTTTCCTTCTATACTTAGACAAGAAAAAAAAATTTAGCATTTCACTCAGCACTTTCTTTATCCGCAGAAAAAGAATTTCGAGGGAATTTGAAATTCCAACGAAGAACAGTTTTCAAATGTTCAATTCAAGTGAAAGAAACTTTCCCCGGGGAGAATATCTAATTACAGAAAAGTAGCGATTACGTTTAATTTCCTAATAATCCACCACCGGTGTCTGTTTCACACCGATCCAAAGATATTAACGAATATCTTCCTTCTCACCTAATAAAACCTTTTACTCCGGTCGTGGGTCATCTGTCGCCCAAGTGGCACGGAGCGTGTTAAATATAGCGCAAGAAGGTGACGGAACAACAAAGAAAATTAATTACTGAATCCATCGGGCGATTATCCGAGCGAACATTTCACCGCTTACGCGTGCAAGTTACGTGAAAGAGAAAATGTCTGTATTTTACGCTCGTATAATTTTTTATCACGTCGTTGGAACATGGCTCGCGAAGTGCTCCGTCGATCGATCACAGAGCTCTTCTCTCACACGGCATAAAAATAACACTTCGCGTAAAAATCTACCCTACACATCTGGCCAACCTGGTTAATCTTTAATTGCACTGTCAGATATCGATAGAATATCGTTCGAAAGAAATTCAATTATCGACACAGACATTCGTCTCCGTCTTCCAGAAATTCTGCAATAATGCTAGGAAAAAGGAATTTTTCGATGATCTCACCGACGATGTTCAGCTTGATGATGTGACTCTTCTTAGGATCGGTCGAGATTTGGCACTCGTACTCGCCTTCGTCGCGATCCTGCACGTACTTAACTTGCAGGGTCCAGGTGTCAGACGCGTCCACGAAAAGCGCCTGGAACCTTTCGTCCGGGATAAACATGGTTCTATCTACCGAGAGGATATGCGAGTCCCTCCTCCTGATCCACGACACCTTTTTGACATTTCGGGAACAGATAAATCGATTTTAGTTTTTAACGTTATTGTCGCACTTTACGTCTGTTTGTCAAGTTTATTTCACACTTTCGAGTGGATTTAAACGGTATAATTAGTAAACAAATAAATTGTCACTGATTTTCGTTACGTGAGCGTTTTATTGCAAATTACCGCGTACAAAGGGAGGTGCACACCGTTCCATTATAAATTTATTATAATTATTAATTCATGTGTCACGGGTTATACGAATGGACGCTGATGGACAGCTTTTGGCTGTCGAAAGGAAATCGATACCACATTTCAGTTACACTGAACAGAGAATAATTCGTATGTTTTCTAAAAATTTTCATAAGCACAATTTTTTTCTTCCTCTAAAAAAAAAAAAAAAACAGAATTTACGTAAAAATTCTTATACCTGGTTAGACGTGAAAGTCGTTATCTCGGTCGTGAATTATTTTCTCTATTCACGCCGCAGAGGCTATAACATTTTGGTGCGCGTTCTCGATATAAATTTTCAATTCAACATTATTGATATTCGCTATAAATTTCACATTTTAATTCTGGAATAGATGGCTGAAAGTTTAAGAGCGTGTTCCACTTCCCCTAAGGATAAGTCATGATCGTATAAATACATGTGCGGAGACACTTTTCAACGGCGATAAATTTCTCAAGAATGGCGCCTATAGTCTGCAAGAAGATAATAATATTACTTGAATTACTTCGCCACCACGTACACGCGGGTCATTTACTTGTTGTATCAACACCCTATCGTATCAACACACACACACACACACACAGTTTGCGGAGACTTGCGAAAAGCGTTTCTTCTACGAACTTCGTCGCAGACCAAGAGTGTTTAAAACTTGTTTATAACTCGGGCAGGAAGAGTTCACCGCGTAGCCGTGGCTCCTATGATCTTTTTCCATCGTTAAAGTGAATAGAACATGGCCCGGAAGTTTCGGTCAACCGTTCCGCCATCCTGCTGTATGCTCTCTTATTCGAAACGAGATGGCGTGTTCTTACTTTTTAAAAGATAAACGCGGCTACGTACACCGTCACAGGTGTATACCGCTCTGGGGTGTAGATTCAAGATACAGGAACAATGTAAGACGCTTTTATTCGTACAAAAGGGTAACTCGTTTAAACTTTATCTTTATTTAATGGCTATTTTTCTGCCGGAGAAACTTTTTTCTTTCCCGCGATTCATTATGGGCTGATGTTTAACTACTCACCGGGCGCACTGTGTGGTCTAGATGATTATTAGACTGCGGATTTTTATGGAGATTCGGGGTTTTGTGAATGTAATTTAAAAAATAGAGGCTAGATGGGCAATTGTTCTTTTCGGTGAACGTAGATAATAATAAGTACCGAACACTGCGCGGTCTAGATAATTACCAGACTGCGGATTTTTATGCAGATTCATGGTTCTATGAATGTAATTAAGAAAGTAGAAGGTAGATAGGTAATTGTTTTATTCGTTGAACATTGGAACGAGTACTATACTTTTGCTTGTTATGTGCATTCAGAGTGCTTTCGTGTCCTCAAATTTTCTGCAAATGCGTAAAAATTTGCAATCTAATAATTATGGTGTCTAACACCTTTTGTCAGTCTCTTGATTTCTTTGGTAACTCTTTATACAATTTTAGATCTATCATCCGCGTTTTAACCCGGTAATGCTCAATTACTTTTGTGTACCAAAATTTGAATAATTAATTATTTGGAGATCTTTATGTTTAACGGTTACTTAAGACTTTTCAGATAACACACGAATGAATCTCTGTTCCATTTTTGATTATCGATCGGTTTTATCGTTGAAATTCGACAAAAAATTTCCAAGTATTTTATGCCGGAACTTTTTGTAGTTTATATGCCCCGAAGCTCAATATACCCCTATTGAATTCTTCGCATCAGCATTATGCTCGAAAATCTTTTACTATACTTTTACGATTCTTTCCTTCTCAAACGACGGACACTTGGTCGAACACAAAAGCGGCTATAATTCAAAAAGGAGCTTAAGTAAGGCGCCCGTTTACGGTTTTTACTATCCCCCGACTGTCCTGAATGCACACAGAGAAAACGGGACGTAGATTAAAAAAAAAAAAAACGCAACGTCATACATAACCCAACGTTTCCCTTTAAATCCTACACCGTGTACAACTCTTCTCCGTTCACCTCGTACAAGCACACCGCGCGAAAAGAAGAAAAAGAAAAGGGGAAAGTTAGCAATTAATAATTGTTACCGGTGGAAGTGAAATTGAAAAGGAAGGAAACAAAGGCAACGAGAGAGAGAGAGAGAGAGAAAAAGAGAAAAAAAGCCAGCTGCAATTCGACGCGTTCCTTCCAGCAAGCGGACGCATCGCGAGAATTATTAATCCCTTCCCCGATACGTGGCCGCGGCCTATTGTTAGAATTTTTCGTCGGACGTTTCTTCCAACGTCGGACGGCGGGGAGGTTGGGTACCCGAACAAAAAGCGAAACAGAGAGACGTTTCCCAGTGACGAAGTGAAATTTCCAGCCGTGTGTCTGGCTCTGTAAAAATCCCGCGGCGGTGGTGGTGGTTGCTGCTGTGCGCGCTCCCGGGTCTGAATAACGGTCAGAAGGGGGCGGTGGAAAGCCGCGCGCTGAGGGGCAGAATACGGGCAGAAAAAGCGCGGAGAGAAAACGCGAGCGCGCGATGGCCGAGATGGAAAAAGCTCCGCTGGCTCGACTTCCCGATCTCGCGCGATCAATCTTCTTCCCCTTGTCTACGGTTAATTTATCGTGCGTCGATCGCCTAGCGTTCTTCTTTCACGCGGCCCGGATTCGAGAGACGGCGTTTCGCGTCTCGCGAAAGAAACCGTATTAAGAGTACGTTCAATTTATTTCCACGGGCGGTAAGTATCGTGGGTCGATGCGAGCGTTAGCGCACACTTCTTCTATGTACACACAACGTTCTGTAATGGTTATACCTTCTCTCTTTGGACGTAACGTCGACTTACAAGGAAAGGGAGGTTGTAATCAACAAAGTAGAGTAATTGCCGCTTTGCTCGAGTCGCGCGACACAAACTGGATTGGGGAAGGGATAATAATTCGAGGGAAAGGAGGGGAGAGGAGGAAAAATTTACAAGCAGAGGACTGCCGTAGTGATAGTCGGATTCGATAGCGAATGTAATCCCTTCGGTCGATTTCTGAACTGTGATTATTATCTGGGAAACTGTAAACCGAGCGATATCCGTTTCCCTCGGCTGGCAATGCTGAAACTGCGGAGAATTCTCTTCCTCTTCCTCTCTCTCTCGCTCGGTCTTGCTTTTGCTCAATTACGATTGCAGTGCCATTAATTTCCGTGGAAAACGCAATAAATCAGTAAATCCTGCCCTTTGGCTTTACTCCTCCTCTCCGCCCACCGCCCCTCCCCCGTCCCGCTGCCTATCGATCGTTTTTCCACTTTTGTCGGATTTCTTTCAGAACTTTCGTGGGGTCTTTTAACTTCGCTGATTCCTAGAAACGAAAGGATTTAATTGCACCGGGGCATGGACCACGGAATCCTTTTCCAGCGAATTCTGTCGTTCATTGGGATGGACGCAGCCAATTCCATGGAATACGGAACGATTATACCGTCCTTTAATGCAACGTGCTGTATAGTATCGGCAAAAAGTTTGAAAACGATGGAATTTCTTTGTTATATTACGTGTGGTCGAAAAAGTGGGTCACTGTTTCTTGTCCAATTCGTCATTTACTACCAGCGTATACCGTACAATGATTCATTTACTATTCGGAGAGATTGAAAAAGAATGAAAAAGGCACAATAGATTACATATTTCTGTTACATTTTTCACACTTGCGTCTGTTGTTACTGGTAAATTCTTCGTCACACTGTTCTCGAACAATCGCGTTTCCTTTCCTAACTTTCTCCCGCTACTGTACGTTATCGCTCGAATTCCGTTGGCAGCGGACACGGAACGCGAAATAGAGAAGAAGTGAAAAGTCACCACTCTCGTGTTCCAGCAAGCCGTCCGCGAAGAGTAATCGCTTTCAATCGTGTTCCAGGGTATAGCGGGGTACACCAATGGTCGTTGACAGAAAGTCAGCGGTAAAGGTACGTTTAATTCCGCGCGCGATAAGTATCAGAAGAGCCGGCAGGAATGACTGGTAAGAGAGTGGCGGGGAGGGGGTGCGAAGGGGTCGCGCGACTCGACTTGCAGAAGGGGGTTCGCGGCCCTTAAGTACGCAACCGGACGATTATACAAGGGTCGCGTGTCACCAGACACTTAGTCGTGGGCTCTTTCGACATACAAGTTTCGTTGCTGTACACACGACTGCTGGGGTAAAAGTTCGTTAACGAGTGATGCGGGCCCGAGTACGAAAAGTTTTACTGCCCCGTTCCTGCTTCTCTGCCCTCGAAAAGGGAGGAAGACCTTTAAACGCGCCCTCAGAGGGCCGGAACCGAGCCAGCCCCCTGTCAACGCTATCTAGGTTACTTCCATGCGGGGGACCACACACTCTCTCCCTCTACCTTTTCTTCCATGCCTCTCCCTTTCCTCTGTAGTTTTAACGTCATTCGTCTCTCTCGCTTCCTTTCGTTTTCTGTCTCTTCCTGTCCCTTTTCTTTTCTGTCTCTCCCTCTCGCTTTACTTCTCTACCTCTCTTTTTCCCTCTACTTTTTACGTCATCCGTCTCTCCCTTTCCTCTTCTGTCTCTCCCTCACCCTTTCCTGTTCTGTCTCATTCTCTCCCTATCTTTCTACTTTTCTGTCTCTTTCTCTCTCTCTTCCTCTTTCTCTCTAGTTTTCATGTCACCCGTCGCTCCCTCTCGCCAGCCGTCTCTCTCTCTCTCTCTCTCTGTCTCGTGCACCGTGTTCCCTGGCTCTGTCCCGCTCTTTCGTGAATCATAAAATTCGCGCGGCTCGTATAATCCGTTCTAACGGCCGCGAAACGCGGACAGATTAGACTTTTATAGTTGGCATAAATTCCGAACGCAGATAGAGTCGGCCGTGTATCGGGATCGACGCTTTATCGCCGCCATTTCGATTATTGTAATAGCGCGAACCGGACGGGCCAGCCGCGCGGAATATCGACGGAAACGTAGGGAACGATAGTGCAACTTTTTGATGGGGGGATCAGCGGCTTCATGGAAACCGACGAGTCGCCGATACGATTGCTATCACGTTGACCGCCGTCACCGCCGCCTCACAGAAAACTGGGTACTCGCGTGCAAATAAATCCGCTTTATCTGGCGCGCACGCGGCGCCAGTATCCGGTCGTGCTTTTTGCAAGGAACAGGGACGAGATAACCAGAGGGTGGAGGGTTTCTCTAAGTACGCGGCTCGCTGCCTCCGAATCGAAACAACGAAATTAAGGAATTTCCTGATTCGTTTTCTGCGACTCGTTTATCTTCCCCCAACCAAGCGCTACTCTGCTTAATTCGTTTTCTACTTTGTCCCGAAACGTTCCAGAAATTTTCACACAAATTTTCTCTAATTGAAGGATTGAAATGGTAAACGAATCGAAATGGAGAAACATGTTGACACTTACACTTCTCTTCGTAAGTATTACGACACTTATCGACTGTGGAACAAACCTAAACAATCATTACGAAATTACTAGAATCCTCAAAAAGAAAAAAAAATTGGAATTTCTATATTTTGGCGAAGAAATGTAATTTAAGTCCATAAAAGATTTTGTACACGAGTATAGTGGGTGTCCCAATACTTTACGAATGGCATCGTGCATCATTTATCACTTGAACGCTGTGAATTTTTAGAATTTATCACCTTCGCAGATTCAGAGAAAAAATAAATGGCAAAAAATGTATCAGAGTGCTCAAATTTATTCATTTGTACACTCTACTTATGGTACACTATTTTTGTCACATAAATCGTTTACCGTTTCAACTCCACAGTTTGCGAATTTCTCACAATTTAATTTGTACGAATATTCAGGGACCTAATTGAGAGTGTTTTATTATGAAAGCATTATCGCGAGCAAATTTTGTGGAAAACTTTGTCTTGGAGAAATTTCACCGGAAGTCCTGATTTATTAGCACATTAGTAACTGTTGGGGTAGATTTTCCACTACATTTTCCACCACGCCGCTTATAATAAGTAATATTTCATTCTCACGTTTCGTACTAATAAATTTCACAATACTGTTGGACCAGACGTGATGAATTTTATTTTTCAACTTCGCAAGATTCATTTTTATAACGAGTAGCTATCCATCAATTCAAACAAATTTTATTTGCCATTGGTATTTGTATTACGTGACACGATGAACATCTTCGAAAGTGCAGTATATGCTCTTAGAGGTAAAATAGTTCGACGTGAAAACTTACCGATTTATTACCAAGCTGTCGCACTTTGCACGGCAAGTAAGCATGACTTCCAAGCTGAGCCGTGATGTTCGTAGGTGTCTTTGAATCGAAGTACGGCCCGGTGTAAATCCCGTCGAACCTCTTCACCAGCGAATGAGATCTTGTGCTCACCCCTGAAAGATTTCATCGATCTTTTAGATAAGCCCACCTATATGTTAAAATTCAATTTTTCCAACCTTTCAACTTAACCGCAAACGTGCAGAAAGAAAAAGAAAACGAAATTCATCTTCTTCCTCCTTATAAATACCTTTTTTCCCCTCGATGTCCGGCCAAAAGTTTGGAATTACCTCCCACTTTTCGTCAATATAAAATCTGCTGCTAATTTCTTATAGATTTGAAGTTTATCTCAATTCTACATTTATCAATTGATCTCATATCGATTGATTCGAACGACAAAATATTCTCAAAGTCGTTGACTTTTTCCAGGAAATTTTTGTGTAAATTGCAATGCTCGGTGATTCGAAACTTTTGGCCGGTAGTGTATATATACATAAACCGGAGGTAACGAAATTATTTCAATATTTGATCCGTTCAAAATATTCTCAAAGTCGCTGACTTTTTCCAGGAAATTTTTGTGTAAATTGCAATGCTCGGTGATTCGAAACTATTGGCCGGTAGTGTATATATACATAAACCGGAGGTAACGAAATTATTTCAATATTTGATCCGTTCGAATCTCTTATTATTTCCGTTCGAAAACGATATTGTACCGCTAAATAAAGAGGAAGCTGGTAAAAGCAGTTTTTAAAAATAACACACTCCGCGACCCATATTGTATCTCACATTGGGAAATAGCAAACGCGAGGAGAACTCGTTATCGATTAAACGTTAATACGATCTTTCTCTTTTCGAATCGGTATTTATAGTCACCGTTGCAGTTCTCTCTGTTTAACGGTTGAATTTGATAGTGGGAACGTGGTGGAACGGGGACGTTTGTTCAGACGGAAAATTTCCGAAAATATAGAGTAATATCGTTTGCTATACGCGCAGGAAACATTTTTTGTGTCACGGGCGTAATATCGTGGTACTTGCAAATTTCCCGAGGAAAAGGTGGTTACGGCACGGAACCGTTTCTTTTCTCTTTTCCTCCTCGCCTAACCATGTTGGCTAGGCACGAAACACGTTCTCCACAAATTCTCATACGAAAGTTCGCCCTTAACCGTGCACCTCGAACACCCGGTCTACGTCTCGAGGAGAATGCATTAATATGGCGGTTTTGACCGCGGCGCGGCGCTAGCTTGTTATCCCAGGCGAATTTACATTGTACGGGTACCGGTACCGTTTCCATGATGGAATAATAAAAGGATCGCAAGGAATATAGCGTATTTCGCATTCGTGACGTCCATGCACGATGCCTGATTCTCTCTCTCTCTCTCTCTCTTTCTGTCTCTGCATCTTACCGTCCCTCTATCTCTCTTCCTTTCACCCTTTGCCTTTTAGAATAAATCCTATCAGAGAGCTTTTGCCAAGCCATCGTACCTTGGGGAAATGGATACTAATCCGGAGGATTCCGATCTAAGGGGATACGAGAAGTCAGATCAGCATACGACCAGGAAAGCAACGCGGGCTCCTTTCCAACGACCTTGAGGACCCACTTCCGGTTTACATTTTCAGGAATAAAGGGAACGCGTATCTGTTCGTGCGCGCCTCCTTTCGATATTCGGAATACGAGAATACGGATTAGATCTTACTTTCTTTTGCTACTGAAGAGTTTTTTTTTTCGCGATTTTGTCGGAAGACCAGTGTGGCGTTCTTGGTGGAAGAGTTGTAGTGAGATAGACGTAGAATTTCAATATTTGAATATTTCAAAACTTCAATGTTGGAGTATTTGAAAATTTAATATTTGAAATGAATATTTCAAAATTTAATATTTGCAAATTTATATATTTGGATGTTTGAAAATTTAATATTTGCAAATTTTAATATTTGAGAATTTGAAAATCAGAATATTTCCAAATTTCAAGCTAGTGGAAATGGGTTATGAAAATGAAATAGTCTTTTTGTCTTGTGATATACTATTTATTTACGGACTCAGAGGAAACGTCTTTACGCTATTGAATGTTCTAAAGGACTGTTACTGGGCACCCAAAAAGAATTTATGGTATCGCATTGTGCAGTGCGTGACTCGAAGACGGACACCAGACACATCTGGTGGAAGTCTTACTGCCTTTGTTTAAAATAACGCGGAGACATTTTTGTCCTCACTTGATTATTTCCATGGGGTGTTTTTAGAAATAATCCAACACAAGCTTTGAAAAATTGTCGGCGCAAAGATACCTCTTCAATTCCTTAGGTAGCACACCACCGTTGAAAAATAACACGTATAATAAATATAACAACACAGATACATCGATGCCCCTCGCCGTCTAAATAAAAAATCCCCCGAAATTAGCTCCACACTCACCCTGCTAAAAACCTAATAAAAACCCAATAAAACCTAGATCCAGCTCTAAATATACCGATCCAATCATAGCCACCGCTCGGCCTCCACAAGCTTCGACTAATCTAAGAATCCACATCTTTCGCTCTGCGCTTGACTCGAAATTTGAACAGCTTCTGCAATACACACACCGCCCTGCGTGCAACTAGAACCAAGCTTTAGATCAATCGATGTTTTCGCTTAACGTCGTGATTTACGACCTCGCTGTACCTCCTCCACCAAGTTGTACCGGAAATAACCAGGATAGACATATGGATACCGCGACAAGCGGTCGTCGTACGGCACGCAGGAATCCCTGATATCTATCAGAACCGAAGGAGAAGCCTGTCGATTTATGCCTTGCCAGAAGAAGAGGCTGAACTCGACGAAACAGCTACTCGAGGAAACTTTTTTCACGCCTCGAAAGTAGGGAAAATGTTGGCAACTGGTTGTGTGTGCGCGTAACCGAATTTCGATTCAAACGACTCTCTACGTTCTTCGCGGTGTATTTACGTTGGTATGTAGAGAATATTTTTCGTGGTTTTCGGTACGTGGCCGCGTAAAGAGTTACGGTTACCGGGCAACTGCGTGAAACTGAGGTATTCATCGTTTGCTATAACTCCGCGGCCGCCTTTACAGCTATTTATGTTGCATTCATAACGGGAAAAACAATTGGCCGAAGCGGGAACTCGGGTACTCGGTTCTTTCATTTGCTGGACGACCGCTCTATTGATTGAGTTATTCAGGTCATCAACAACTTTTTCTTCCCGGTCCGTTGCTCGAAAATAGCTGACTTCTATATGTTACTTTTTCCCGGTTCCAGATATTTTTCTGCGATATCTATAGCTGAAGAAACAATAGAAACTTTTTTCCGCTCGTATTGCTATTTTTGGAATTTTCGGTCAGGAGCGATCGGTGGGTCGATAATTTTGTCGCGAATCGTGGAAAAAAGTGGAAATTGCTGCAGTAAAGTTTAATTGATTGCACGAAGATTTTTCTGTGGTATCTATGGTAGACGAAACAACGCAAACTATTTTTGTATTCATCTTGTTACTTTTTCATTTTAGAGAGATCGGTAGATCGGTAATTTTATCACGAATCATGAAAGAAAGTAAAAATTGCTACGGTAAAATTTAGTACATTATACGAAGATTTTTTTACGTTATAGTAAGGGAAACAACGCAAACTGTGTTTGTAGTTTGGAGCGATAAGTATAAAGATCGATAATTTTATCATGAATCATGGAAGAAAGTAAAAATTGCTACAATAAAATTTAACCCTTTGCACTCGGAGGTCATTTTGTAATAGAAAAGTTTGCGAATCGAATGTTTGAAATTTTTTTAAATTAACGCAGTAATAAACTATACTATTTTACTTAAATATTCAACGTATTCTCTACTTCGTTATAATGAACAAATTTATAGAGGCCCCATAGATCTGCTCTCTGACTTGATTAATTATTCACCAAGTGACGGTTGTTTAATGTCGCTTCTCAGTCACCACTCGATTACAAAGGGTTAATACATTGCACGAAGATTTTTCTGTGGTGTCTATAGTAGACGAAACAATGCAAACTACTTTATTTTTTAATTTCAGAGAGATCGGTAAATCGATAATTGTATCACGAATCGTGAAAGGAAGTGAAAATTGAATAGATTGCACGAAGATTTTTCTGCATTATCTACAGCAGACAAAACAGTGCAAGCTATTCTTGTATTTCGGAGCGTTAAGCAGAACTTTATCACGAATCATGAAAAATTGCATAAAAGCGAGAAAGACGAAATTGCTACCACAAAATTTAGTCCATTTCCACTGTTTCGTCGTTCAATTCCAAGGATAAAATAAACAAAGACGCTATTTGTTCATAGATCCGTAGGCAATATAATACGAGAATTTAGTTATTATACGGCATAGTGGCCGCTTCTCGAAACGCGTGTTTTTTCCTCTCGAGAAGTAATGCCAGTCATTACCGCAGTGCAAACAAAAAAAAGCTCCGTGCCGGTCGCAAATGACGTCATTGCAGCGAACGTGTTAAGGGAGTATAAGGAGGACGCATTAACGGCATTGCTGTATTATTCAACATATTTTAAACGGGCAAATGAAAGAACACTAAAAGAAAGTGATATCGCGCGTTCGTGTGCACTCCTCTCAACAACGTGGGCGCCGCCTGCGAACCAAGTAGAATGGGAATGTATTATGACAGCCAATGAACCAGCTAAAGAGAAGTCGTCCCCAACGTTAGATCTCTAGAAGTAACACCTGACGAAATCAAATTCTGTCGACCTCGAAAAAGAAAAAAAAAAAAGAGAGCCTACTCCAATTTCTAGATTATTAAAAATATCGTCAGATTTTTAATTATTCCTCATTCGATCGCTGAAAAATCCCCAGCTTTCTCCCCTGTTAAATTAAAATTCACACAACACCAGAGAACAACAATTTTCCCAGAAAATTCCTCGCGTTACACGATTTTAATGGAAACTTGCCTTCATTTACAAATCACATCTTTTTTTCAACGTTCAACACGGACACGCTAATTATAAGCAAACGTATCGCGCGGGCTTGTATATTCGAACGTTCCGCGAGGATCACCTGGATAATTCGGTGAATTATAGAAAATCCTGCGACATCCGCGATCGATCGAGAGCGCGCAGGAAAACGCGGCCTGTGCAGAGCCGCCGCGTCGGCAAAAATCGA